ATATTTGGCATTGGGATCGAACCACCGACCTTCTGATTAGTGGCTGACCTGCTCTGCCACCTGAGCTACAGCCACCCCAAGTAAGTACCCTTACTGCTGCATGTGGTCAGAATTACAATTGTAAGTAAGCAGCCGGGTTGATAATCAAATCAACTTACTGGATTACTCAATCAAGATTTGATTATGTATGTTCAAGTGGCATCTGAACAAACCACAACGCTTCTGAGACCTAAAGCGGCTGCAAAGTGCCACATTTAAAAAAGCCAATCACAGCATATCAGCACCAACACCTCATACCAACTGTCATGGGCGGTGGTGGAGGGCTGATGATTTGTGCTTGGTTTGCACCTACAGGGCCTGGGCTACTTGCAGTCTTTTCAAGTGTGAGGCCATCTGTCCAACACATCCCAAAATTGGGTCGTGCAACAGGTCAATGATCCCAAACACAGCAGCAAATTTACAACAGAATGGCTGAAAAGAAAAATAATCAATATTTTGCAGTGACCCAGTTAAAGTCCAGACCTCAACCACAATGAGATGCTGTGGTGGGATCTTAAGACAACTGTGCATGAACAAATGCCCACAAACCTCAGTGAACTGACGCAACGGTGCAGAACTGAGTGGCCAAACATTCCTCCACAATGATCTGAGAGGCTGATAGCATCATCCAGACAACAATTAGGTCAAGCTTGTAGAAACCACCTTTCTGCTAAAGGTGCTTTCTACAAGCTACTGAATCATGGGATGTACTTGGTTTTTCACAGAGGTTCAGGACTTCCTGTGAAAACATTTTCACAGCTCTGCTATTTTTCTGTTTTATTAAGCTGTGAGGACCACCACAGCTTAATAAAGAACAGTGCAAACATATATAAACCTGTTTACAAATGCAACTGTCAAAACTCTTCACTGCTTAAAAAAAAATTGGTATATATATATATTTTTTATTTTGTTTAAATGAACATTAGTCTTTAAATGTTCCTTTTTGTTGATAATGTTATAATATTCTGCCCATAAGTTTACAGGCTAAAATAAACGATTGCTAGTTTATTGTGAAGAGAAATCAGTGATGGTGTATAGACAAGTGGATTTACATTTATCAACTTTTTTGACCCTCACACAACAGCACTAAAATGTCTTCAGTATCCAAAAAGACTCAGACTGGTCCTTCAACATAGTGCACGTGTAACCAATATGTCAGCTTATCAAAGAATAAAACGTGAAACTGTATCAACTGAGGACAATTTATTCAGAGTTTTACAGCAGTTTAGCATCTGTGTCCAATATCTCATACCTTTTAGTGGACTGAAGCGTGTATGTTCTTAACAGCATCAAAACACCATCATCACCTTTCCCACATCCGCCATGCATTTAGAATTTAAAGGAAACTGCACTCACTCCAACAATAACCAAAACTTCCCATTGAGCGCGTTTGGGGAAATCTAAATTTCGGTCCACTTTAACTGATGATCAGAATTGAAACGGAAAGAAAAAAAATTCTTGCATTAGTTACAACACTTCCCCTTATGTTGTGTTACAACTCATTTCTGCTTAACCTTGGGACACGTGCAAATGTCCTTACAGTTACTGTGTCGGGTCTCCGTCCATAAAAAACAAACTATGATGGTTCTCAACATCAAAGTAAGAGAATGTCTGTAAATAGTCCTCGAAATAAAATTGTAGAAGCTGGCCAGCAGACTTAAAAAAAAGTATGCACATAGAGCTCTACATGAAAAGTATCTATGAGTTGTTTGATTGAAATACTTAATCAAACAGGAGAAAATGTAGCAGCTGCTGCTCGCTCTTCTCAGTGGTCCGTGTTGAAGACCGGAAAAGAAAGTCTGCTCAGTAGCAGGAGGATAAATGATAGTGATTTGAAGGCTATCACGAGTGAAATGGTCACAGCAGGCTCACACAAGCTACGTGAGCTCATAGCCCCTCTCGCCAGAGGTGACACTACCACCCTGTCATGAAACGGCAGTAGATCAACAACATCATAATACTTTCTATAAATTTAGCACATAGTGCACAGAACTGAATGTAACTGTACAGTAGACATCAGACAAGTAAACTAACAGCGGGTTACACACGCACACACCTGTCTTGTGTGTTGTCTAGGATCCTGAAGCAATACGATCACCCTAACATTGTGAAGCTTATTGGGGTGTGCACGCAGAAACAGCCCATCTACATTATCATGGAGCTCATTCAAGGTAAATGTGATCTTGTTAGACACGGTTTTTATGTCTTTCAACATGTCAACTCGGTGCCTTCAAAGATTTATTGAACCATTTTCACCACCCACTTTGTTCCTCCATCATCGTTCTCGCTCTCCGTATGTGTGTGTGTCTTTACACTTTTCAAGGTGGTGATTTTCTCTCCTTTTTGCGCACTGAGGGTCACAGTCTGATACCGAAGATGCTGGTCAAAATGACTGAAAATGTCGCATCTGGCATGGAGTACCTGGAGAGCAAAAAGTGCATTCACAGGTTGGTCAGACGATCACGCTGCTTTTATCTAATCTTTGAATCAGCCACGTGCAAATCTGTGACTTCAGCAATAAAGATTCTGCAATGCTCACTATTCATTTCCTTCACAGTTGCAGTCAGCTTAATCTTTCCTCATTGTTAACATGCCGGAATGCATAATGTTCACCTCTGTGTTCGGTTTGATAAATACTACATATTAAACGTTCATTTGAATACAGTGCAGTGTGGTTTCAGCAACAACTAAAGTGGTGCATCGCTCATGTACATGCAGGTGGATTTTCAGGTTTTTACTGTACACTTTACAAAGCATCACCCACCTTCCCAAGCTTTCACTTCACCTAACTGTTAACTGCACTTATCTGTAGCAGTTCCCCATATGTTGAGTAGCAGTAAAATGCTTGCCTTAAGTAAAGCTTCAGCTCAGCATCATATAAGGTGTCACACTGTAATCTCTAGAGAGATGTGCACAGAAAGATATTTAAGCAAATACAAGTTTCCAAATAAAAATAAAATCACTTTACAATAAAAACAAATAATGTGGCTGAAAAGTACCAAAACAGAAAGGCTTAATAAAGACAGAGGAGAACTACAGACATGATCCATGGCAGGAAAAATCTGCTTTACATTATTTCTTAAATACCATAGTCCTTGATGGCCTAAGGCTCCTGTTTAGGACCTTAAAGGAGTGCCTCCTAAACCCCTTTATACTGGTAGTAAGATTTATATATTAGATCTAAGGACCTGATGCAAAAATATCGAACTGGGTGTGATGAGACCGTTCTGAACATTTTTAATGACTGAGGAGAAAAACCAGCTCACAGCCCTGATTGTAACTACGCATCCTCCAAAGACCACAGAGCTGTGTAGGAGTTGCTTACAAAGATCAAACGTTGGGTTTTTGTGAGTAGCCTGCAAACAAAGCTTGCATTAAAAGACGAGACCATCTACAAACACATTCTGAAAACTCGACCATTTCCTTTAATTCAGCAATACGTATGCATGTATATATATTTAAGTAAATGATATACTGCATTCAGAATTGTTGTAGTGTTTTGGGGATATCTACAAATTGAACGTGGCCTCGGTGGCTGGCTGTAGGGGCACTAGAGGAGAGGAGGAGGTTGTGACATCCGGCTCATTACAGCAGCACTTGTATGGTTTGCCCAGCAGGGACGGATCAGACAGGCTGCTGGTAGCTGCTCAGCCTGTAACGCTGCATGTCAAATGGCACTCGCACACAACACAGAGATATGATAGGAACACCTCTCGTTTAAGTGCCATCTGTTCTGTTTTTTCATACAGAGCATGATTTTTTTTATGTTTCATTTGTTTCCACTTTTCCCCAGCCTCCATCCCTCTTACATTTCCTGTCTTGTGCTTTTTAAGGGACCTTGCAGCTAGAAACTGCCTGGTCGCAGAAGGCAACGTGGTGAAGATAAGTGACTTCGGGATGTCCCGTCAGGAAGATGACGGAGTCTACTCTGCAGAAGGCGGTCTCAGACAGATCCCTGTCAAATGGACAGCTCCTGAAGCCCTGAACTATGGTGCATCATTAGTGCCTCTGCCATAATACCACAACCAGACACATTTCTCCGGTTTCTACTGCCAACAGCCAGTTAAATACTCACAAAGAGCTGCGCCTATACCTTTGCTTACACTGCCCCCTGCTGTTGTTTTCAGGTCGTTATACCACAGAGAGTGACGTCTGGAGCTTTGGCATCTTACTGTGGGAGACCTTCTCCATGGGAATGACCCCCTACACCAGCATGACCAATCAACAGACACGTGAAGAGGTGGAGAAAGGTGAAGACGATAACGTGTCAAAGTGTTTGTGTTCACGTGACATTCAGGAGAATTCCTGCTGTCATTGTGATTGATTTTGACACTGATACATTTTCTGAGTCTCACGTGTATCAGAAAGCACGTTTACTGCCATCTGACCATCTCTCTCCCTGTTATGCTTCTCTGTGATGTGCTTCAGGGTACCGTATGCCTGCTCCGCACGGCTGCCCCATTGAAATCTCCAGGATTATGAACAGCTGTTGGCAGTATGATCCCAGAAACAGACCATCTTTTAAGAAACTCTGGATCGATCTCAATGCCATATACAGCAAAATTATATAATACACTCTTGTAAGTTGGATGTGTTTTAGACATTATTTTTTTGTTAGGTTGTATTTGTTCTTTCTAAAAATAGGTTGAGATTTAATATGAATACTAAAAGTAAAAATAAAAGGTCTAATTAAAACTTGATAAGTTGTGTAGCATTTCTTTTTAGACTTACTGCTGAAAATGAGAAGAAAGAAGTGCTGATGTGTGGCCTTGTAGAGCATAAGCTTGCCAGGTGGGGGCAGTACTTTCATTTCTTCCTTTGTTTCGAGAAGAGTGTCAGCAACTCATTTACAACTTATCTCCTTTTAAAGACATGTAACGAACTTGCAAACACTTGATTTTCTAAAAATCAGGATCCCAGAAGTTCTAATATAGACAAAAACACAAGTTTAATACCAGCTGTTACTGTTTTGGCTGGAATAGTCTTGGTTTCCAGCAGTGTACCTAGATTTAACCCCTTCAGCTCTGTACTGTTTGAAATTCTCAGGTGGAAAAAAACAACAGTACAGTTAATGTAAGGAAAATGAATAACGTGTATTGTTCTCACTGACATAATAGTTAAACATTTTCCCACAGCTTACTTGGTGGTTCATTAGGATTCAAAGCTGCATGGTGATTCAAGCAGTTAAATTACTCCTTTGCCATTTTTTGTGTACTTGATCACAGAATTTACAAATATTTTCAGTTAAAAAAACAAAACAAAGATTTAGTATTTATAGTTTTCAGTGTTTGCAAATTAAAGGCTTTAATTTCAACTAGACATACAATAGTATTTTTGCTAGGTAAAAAGTTCAGAGACATTTGTCATGCCATTATCTGCTGAAACAATCTTCTGACAGTTGTAGCAGGGCATGATTTATTAACTTGGTCCCGGTAGGCAAAACAAAATTGGGCCTGCAGGAACTTGAAGTTTTAGTTTTATGTGGGTGGCTGTAGCTCAGGTGGTAGAGCAGGTCATCTACTGATCGGAAGGTTGGTGGTTCGATTCCTGGCTTCCCCTAGTCTGCATGCCAAATATCCTTGGGCAAGATACTAACCCCAAATTGCTCTCCGATGCATCCATCGGATGTATGAATGTGTGTGAATGTTAGCTATAAAGCACTTAGAAAGATGTGCTTGTGCGAATGGGTCTGAATGGGTGAATACACAAGTTGTGTAAAGCGCTTTGAGTGCTCAGATGAGTAGAAAAGCGCTATATAAGAACCAGTCCATTTACCATTTATGTCTCCTTATAATTAGAAAGTGATATTTTTTATCTACAGTATTATTCTTATTGTTGTTTCTTTTTGTAGCACTTTGGGCTGCATGTGCATCAACAGTATAAATAAACCTGAGTTTTATCTTTACCTCAGCAACAGATGAGGTAAAGGTAAAACTCAGCGAAGAGAAAACACTGTGTATCAATGGAAGGCCCCAGCAGCCTGGAAATATTACAGTAAGAGGTTTCAGGTTCACCTGATCCATGTCTAACTATGAACTGTATCAAAAAGGAAAGTTTTAAGCCTGATATTAAACGTAAATACTCAAAAGAGATAGAGATGGCTGGAATATGACACAAGAAATACAAGGGGGATCGCTTTCTTTTTTTTTTTTTTTTGATTGACCAGCGACAACATCATGAGCAGTCTGCAATGCCAACTTGAACAACCTACTTCTTCTCTATCTGGTAACCATTTAGTGACCAGCAAACCATGCGTAGCACTGTTTATGTCACTACTGAGAGAGACCCGACTCAAAAGTAAGTAAGTTAGATTTCAAGAGAAAGATCACAAAGCGCTTCACAATAAAATGTCAGAGCATTAAAAAGAAGATTTAACCAAACAGAAGTCTAAAAAGCTATTGCAGGAAAGGATTTTCCTGCTGCTACTTCGCCAAAGAGTTGAATACAGGGAAATCAGTCAAAGAAACAACCTCCCCTGCAGGTGACGGAGTGACCTCAGCCTGCTCAGTTTTATTACTCTGAGCCCTGGTTATGGCACAGGCAGTAATACCTCTGGTAAATTCTGGTCTCTGACATCCTTTACTATTAGATTCGAGGACACTACTGGCAATGTAGGTAACTGTGGCCACATTTTTTCCTCTCAATAATGGTAACACCAGGAACAGGCAAAGAGGGACATACTCCTGAATCTCCCCCACTGCACCAAATCAGAGGTCAACGCCAAATGACAGAAAGGTGCAGAAAATGCATTCATCTCCATACCTCTGAACAGAACAGAATTAACAGGATCAGCTGTCAGAGAAAAAAGAAGAACACACTGAATAGATTTGGACTGGGGGGTGTATGCGGCGTGTATCCTGGAGCACATTCCTCTGAAGTTAAGCTGAATGAAAACTGTTACAGAAAAATCTAAACTTGATCTGCAACTGAGAACATTTTGTGTAAAGTTTGACAGCAGCTGCCTTATTACTGTGATGGATAGTAGCAGCTCCAACAACGATTATCTTTTCTCCAAAAACCTTGAGGGGACCTGACTGTTGAAGCTTTGTCTGATGTTTACCTGCCCGGTCCACCCAAAGTCATGCCTTACCAATTGGTCTGCAATGATTCTCGATAGTATCTCGATAAAAAATCCTTAATGCAACAATTTTTTTTTTATATCTAACCTACAACTCTAAGTTGTTTGCATACAAATTCAAGCATTTCATCCACATTTGTGACTAAAAATAGACCTGCAATAGAAATGTATCGGAGGACTGATAACACAACAGCAGCAGTGAAGATGAGCCTGTCCAAGTTTAACATGGAGCTGTAGTCTGTCTACACAGGGGTAGGAAACATAGGGTGCGGGGGCTAAAATTGGCCCGGCAAAGACTCCAACCCGGCCCAAATTTCACGTTTTTGTGAATCAACAAACTTTGTTTTATAATTACAGGACACTCTGAGCTACTGGAACTTGTTGCGTAAGCCCAAAGAGTCATGATGACACATTTCTTTAATTAACTAGAGCAGCATTTCTTTATGTAGAAAAACTCAGAGGCACAGTTGAAATTGTGCTTCCTTTTTCTAATACTAATATATCTCAGGGATTAAATGCTTTTACACTGTTAGACAGGATGGTCTGTCAAGGTTTCATTAATATTATTTTGCAGATTTAGATAAAATAATATTTAAAATTATAAATAAAATATAATATTAAACAAATTGGGATAATATTTACAAATATAAAAATATAAAAGCTTTTTTACTTTTTGGGTTTTTTTTCTGAGTGCCAGTGAAAACAAACAAAGGGCGGTGAAACTCTCAACCGCTGACCTTGGGTTGTTAAGCGGAGCACTGACTGATTACTACCTTTAATTATTAACATTAATTAATAATATCTGCATCACCAGAACATGTTTCCTGCAGCAGAAAATGTTCTGAGAACATTCAGCTCTGATAACGTTCACTTCAGAGAACGCTTACTTTTCTTCACTGTAACCACCAAATGGCTTAAGCTTAAACATGTAGAAACACACGCGCGCACAAAAACACATACACATGAACACACACCAAATACACAGCATCCAGCCTCATCCAGAACTCTTGTTTTGTTGCCTTCTACTAATGAAGAAAGCACTCCAAGGGACAGAGTAAAGGCTAACTTGTATTATGCTTTAGTTTACCTTATTTTATTTGACATTACTGTACTTGTAAGTATTTATTTTATATTAAAGAAAATGTTTTCATTTAAAAAATATATTTTTAATTGCGCACGTAAATGACAAGGGTTTTGTTTTTTGACAGATGTTGTAGCTGCAGTTAAACTATTAAAACATTTGTGTTTTTAAAATAGAAACCAATGAAAAGGCTTTTGAAAAAGATGTATTTTTTCTGTTTTGAACATTTATAATCGCTCATTAATAAGAAAAAACTGTATCTAATCTGTTCACGTGAATAATGGATGAAATAATCAAGATCTGCGGCCCTGGTTTCGACTGTATTTAGTTTATGAGTTACAATGTGTTTGTGCTTACACCACTGCTTCAGATGCAATTTTCTCTCGCTCTCTTTTTTTTTTTTTTTTT